GTTTTTACAGGACTCTCTAGGTGCGCACGGGGACTCGTGTGCACCAGGGTCTGATGCACAAACACTGACCACGGCGGTACCATTGCCGGCATGTTCGGTCTAGGGGTGTGCTGAGCGGGCCCGCGGCCCGGGGCACTAGGTCTCCCGGACAGTCAAGGGATGCGTAAGTGCCTCTGTGATATTGGCACGGTGACTACATCGCCTAAGGATGCATCTCTCCGAAACCATCCCCAAAGCTGAACGACTCATGACTGTACATGGACAGTCTCAGAAATGCACAATTCATACATTTGAAACTGTACACCATTCTCAGTGGTGCGATGAAATCTCACGCTGTCCTGCTCCATCCCGCCCGGGATGTGAACCCTCCCTCTGCCCAGCCTATCCCCGCTGCTCTGCCCGTGGGTCACCGAGTAACCGGCTCAGTTACCAGAGGGGCTGATGAGGTGTCACAGTGCCAGGGTTCAAGTTATTTCACCCTTGTTTTACTGAGTGGTGGCCACAAAGTGCATGAGTAGGGATGCTGGCGATTTGGGTTTGCCAAAGAGAAGCCAGGAAGCTCTTCCCTGAAGTGAAAAGGTCTGCGTGGGAAAGGCGTTGTGTGCAGTGCTCGGTACCATCCCAGTGTGGGCCATGCACTGGGGTCTTGGAACTTACCCCACGTGGACAAGGGGGAACCGCGCTATAAATTAAACTTTCAGTTCCCAGTCTTTGGAAGGGGAGATGGGCAGGGTCTGATGATAGGGAAGGGTTTCGAAACCCTAATGGCGACTCTATACGTAGCAAAACTACAGCTGACTCTGCGAGCTGAATGGTCAGGTTTCTCCAGCTTAAAAGGTGTTGACAAGGCCTGCAGAATGACCTGCTACCTTTGACCTCTGAGGCCCGGCTTGGCATGGCCACTGCCAGCCCCTCACACCGCACAGTCACCCACCCCTTACAGCTTCCCCGCCTCTCGCCCCGAGCAAAAGGCCAAACACACCAGTCCCCCACTGACACACCAGTCCCCATACACACCAGACCCATACACACCAGTCCCCATACACACCAGTCTCCATACACACCAGTCCCCATACACACCAGTCCCCATACACACCAGTCCCCATACACACCAGACCCCATACACACCAGACCCATGCACACCAGACCCCATACACACCACTCCCCCACTGATGCACCAGACCCATACACACCAGACCCCCACTGATGCACCAGACCCCATACACACCAGACCCATACACACCAGTCCCCATGCACACCAGACCCATGCACACCAGTCCCCCACTGATGCACCAGACCCCAATGCACACGAGTCCCCCATGCACACCAGTCCCCCACACACGCCTGTCCCTCCCACATCCAGTGTCCACCTGGGACCCTCTCCCCCTTCATCTCAAACCTCACCCCAGACTCAGCACACGATCTCTCCTCCCAGAAACTGCCACAGCCACTCAGGCTACCTCTGACCTGTGCTCCCGGGGTCAGAAGCCCTCTAGGTAGCGTGACCTGGGTTCAGGTCCCGGCTTGGCCACTTACTTAAGGCATGACTTCACCTCCCTGAGCCTCAGTTTCCACACATGTCAAGCAAGGATAACCAAGTGCCTGCTCACAGGGTTATCGTGAGGACTGAACGGAACATCACTGTAGATGTCAGAATGGGCGCCGGAGCCACTTACCAGCTGGGTAAACCCGGGCAGGTGTATTTCCCTTCTTTGCCCCAGTTACCTCGTCTGCAGGTTGGCTGTCACAATAGTACCTACCTTGCAGAGTTGCTGGGAGGATAAAACGAGTTGTTACGTGCAAAGTGTTGGGCACAAGGTACACACAAGTTAATGTCACTCGTCTTGTTTGGTTAACAAAACCAGGCAACTACATGATTCCTCACTGGGCCGTGCTGAGCCGCTGTGGCCCCGTTGCCCCTGCCCGCCCCGTCTGCTCCCGGGCCCCCGAGCCGGTGGTGGCGGGGAACCGATTCGGAATGCTTTTCATCAGCAGCGTGCAGGCATGCTATTTCACACGCCGGCTGTTTAAACGTACACCTAGTTACAGCTGACTGCCTTGGGTGATTGGTTGGTGGCCAAGTTCCCGTTGGTCCCCGATCGATCTGGAAGCTGAGAAGCAGCCAGAACATTCATCCCGCCATCAGGCCTGCAGCCTGGGGTAATTCTTCGTGGGGGAGCTGCCAGGCCCAGGCGCTGGGAGGAGGCAGAAGAGATGGGTTCCTCCCGATGCACGGACGGGGCCTTAAGCAGCCCAGGTCCCCGTTATCAACTGGGGGGCAGGACACCATTCCGAGGGGCAGGCTAAGGTGACTTAAGAGTGGTTCTGGGCCCCACGCTGCGGACGTCAAGGTCGTATCCTCGGCACCATGTAGCCCAAGGTGACGAGCCAGCACACAGGCTGGCATTTCATGGGCACCCGAGAGAGGACACACAGAGGGAGCATCAGAAATACGAGTTCCATGGGGACGAAGCACAGCGTTGGGGAACCGTGTTCACAGAGATGGCCCTATGACACGACGGCATTCATCCCGTCACTTCTTCGTTGACTTCGAAACTGTGCAGTTGCACCTACCACGAGCCAGGCGTGGCCCCGAAGACTCGCAGATGCCAATAGCAGTCAAATGCAGGCCCCGCTTCCCAACAATCGCAGCAGAAATCGTGGTACCGGCTGCGTGCCGGGCACTGACAGTGAGCCAGGCTTCGCGGGCGTTACTTTAATTCTCACAATCACTCAACGAGATGGGTCCTATTTTTGCCCTTGGTTTGCAGATGGTGAGCCCGGAGTTCGGAGAGGGGTGAGTCACTGGACTGAGGCCCATGCAGTTAGGAAGGAATCAAGATTCAAACCAGTCCCATCAGACCCAAACTCCGGTTGCTCACCATGAGGACACCTGCCTCACGAAAGAGCCAGAGCGCAATGTTTTAACTGGGTGAGAACTACAGAGAGTTCAGTGGGAGTTCCTAGAAGTGGGAGAGCCCACCAGCTGGTGGGGGGGGGGCTAGGAAGTGATATGAGGACCTCCGTCCCCAGCATGCACCTTAACACCTTGCACATAGTAGGTGGTCAATAAGCACCTGCTGGTTGACCAAGTTCATTCAGAGCCTTTCTGAGTACTGTCAGGCAGGCTTCTGCCCCTTGTTTCTTTCTTTTCTTTTCTTTTTTTTAAATAACTATATCAATTTTTTTAGGGAGAGAGAGATAGAAACATCAATGTGAGAGAGACTCATCGATTGCTGCCTCCTGCATGTCCCCACTGGGGATCGAGCCCACAACCCGGGCATGTGCCCTGACCAGCAATCAAAGTGGGCCCTCTCAGTCCATGGGAGATGCTCGGTCCATGAGCCACACCGGCCGGGCTGCCCCTTGCTTCTTCAGTGTCATTCACAAGGCATCGTTTTGTCCACAAGTCCATGAAAAAGGACCTTGGTGATCGTCACTTTGTAGAGGAAGAAACAGAGGCTGGTGGGAAGGGGGTCCGGGCTTGAACCCAAGTCCCCAGGACTCTGAAGCCCAAGTTCTCCCCCTCAGCCTTGGAGCCACTCGGCACTGACTCAAGACGAGATCCAACCCCGGACCCCAGACCCTTCCAGCTCCACATGCTGCCTCCTCCTCAGACCCAAGGGGGTAATTTATCCCACGCGGGTGCAAAACACTCTCTCGTCACTTTCCACACAGGGAAAATGCATCCTCAACCTGCGGGCCTGACCTTGGGCTGCTGCAGGCTGACCCACGCAGGAAGCCTTTCATTCCAATGCCATCCCCCCAACCTCCAACAGCCTCCTGGCCCCCAAATCCAGCTCAGCCTTGGCTTAACTCAGGATGTGGGGTTCCCTCCACTGGCCTGGGCCTGGAGCTCCTTGAGCGGAAAATATCATTGAATTGTGGAGTTTATTCTACTCCTTCCTTTGCTGTCTGCTGGTGTCTCACGGGTGTCGTTTTTCTGCCCTCCCGCGGCAGGGACGCGTCTCCTTTTGCATCCTCCGGTCGCCTTCCCCAAGGCTGGCGCGTGGTGGACGCCCAGGAAATGCATCCGGTGGAACGCCTCGCCTTTGCTCAGGCTGCCCCTCTGTCTCGTGTGCCCTCTCCCCCTCCAGCCAAACGACCCCTCCTTCTCGATGAGAAGAAAGCCCCATTCATGGTGTGTGCCCGACACAGGGCTGGTGCTGGAAAATGAACTTGGAACTCAGGCCAAGGTGATCGGACTTGGAACCGGCCCTCGCCTGCTGTCAGCTGCGTGAATGTGGGCACCTCGCCTCGCCTCCCTGAGCCTGCGGCCGATGGGAGTGAGACAGTACCTGCTGTACCTGGTGGCCGGGGGCACTGAGGAGGGAAAGCATTTAAAAGGCGTCTGGTCTCAGGCCCAGCCGACAGCAGACTCTTCCCGAGAAAGTGCTTTACTTGGAGCAATTTAAATAACAACTTATATGCTGCCAACCACTGAGCTATTGCTAAGTCATGGGCACTAGGCTAGGTATTCCATAAGCATCATTCATTCAGCATTAAATGAGCACTTACTAGTTGCCAGTCATTGTTCTTGGCACTTGGGATGCATCAGTGAAACAAACAAACACAAAAAACAGCCCATAGATCCTTGCCCTCAGGGAGTGTGGTGGTAGTCAGGGAAGACTTCGTGGAGGTGGTGACATTTGACATCCATGTTCCCCAAGTCTCCAGCAAAGAGGACCTTGCCAAGTTGCAGACAGGGGAGGGTGCCCTGGGGTCTAAGCACCCATGTGAGGGAGCGAGCCCTGTGGACATGTTAGAGAAGAGCGTCCAGGTCCGTTCATTCATTCATTCCATCCCCACGAGAGGCATCGGGTCCTAATATTGCCGTTGGAGACCCAGTGGGGCTGACTCTCAGGCTCAGCTCACATGTGAGGGTCACAGCGAGCAGGAGACATCCCTGGCTTGTCACGTGTCTATAAGGCTTTGTGCCTTATGTGGGAGGCAGCGATCACAGAGGTGACGCTATCGAGCCTGGTAGTGAGCACAAGGCAATGGGGCACGGCCCGCCCCTCTACCGCACGTGCATCTTTGCGCCTAACCATGTCCTCGCGCTTTTGATGCTCAGCGTCTCTGCTGAAGAAGATGAAGAAATCTTAGGGGACACCGTCTACCGGGGGCAGGTGTTCGAGAAATGCCCCTTCCCAGTGAAGAACGTTGGTGTCTGCTGCACTGTGACTCCCACAGTGGCGCCCACATGTGCCGGGAGTCCGGGGACCAGACCACCACCTCGCGCAGTGCTGCGGGTACGGAGATGAGGAGTCCAGGCACCGCACCCCACACCTGCTTTTAGGTGCAGGGCCTTCCTGTCCGCTGGTCTGCCCCAGTGAACTCTTTGGGAAAACACCAACGACAAAATGCAAGGCTGTGTTGTGCTGCGGAGCTGGGTGCCTTGTCTGATAAACAGGGAGACCCTCGCCCTGGCCGGTTTGGCTCAGCGGTTAGAGTATTGGCGCGCGGACTAGAGAGTCCCGGGTTCAGTTCCTGCTAAGGGCACGTGTCTCAGTTGCAGTTTGTCCCCAGCCCCCATTGGGGTCATGTGGGTGGCAACCACTCGATGTGTCTCTCTCACATCGCTGTTTCTCTCTCTCTTCCTCCCTCTCTCCCCCTTCCACTCTATCTGAAGATAAATGCAAAAGTGTCCTGGGGTGAGGATTAAAAAACAAATAAAGGGACACTCTTACACCCCTCCGTTTGCTCCCCCACCTGGTTTTGAGGCGACCAGTGGCTCTGCCCCCAGGACCCTCACACTGGTCTGGCTGCACCCACGTGGCTTGGCCCTGCGCCCTCCAGGGGAACCAGCACCGGAGGGAGGAGAGGGGGACCCATCACCTTCCCGTTCTGGGCTTGAATCCTCGGTCTTGGAAAGCAAGTCTCAGAACATCTGCTCCGACGAGTCCCAGCATATTAAGCAGCCGCCGAAAATGTATTGTTGTTGCCTTCAATACATGGCAATTACATGGTGTGTTTTGCTCATTAGCAAGAAATTGACACAGAGGCAATCCTCCTTTTTAAAATTACCACTAATCTCACTGCACCTGTGTGGGGAAAAGGCAGGAGAAAAAAATAAATAAAGGTTGGTAATAACAGTTTCGTGATATTTTAAAAGCAAACATTTTCAGAACTCCCTTAAAAATAGCTTTTGGGGCTTGTGGGCTCCCCCCATCTTATTTTAAGAGGCGCCCCTGTGCCTCATGCCACAGGCTGGCGTTACCCTCTGTCTGCGTCACGGGCTCCAGTGCCACACGTGTCTGGGCACAAGGAACAAGGGAGGCCCGGGGCATGAGCCTGGCTTCCTTGAAGTCTCAAAAGCAAGATGCCACGGTGGATCGTGTGTTAGGGACTTGGTGTGCATTAGTGACACCCATCATACCTAAGAGGCTCGTGAAAAACAAACTTCTCTGGGGGGTGGGAGATAAGGGATGCATATGCCCCCCCAGGGCTCAGAGAGGGAGAGTCACTGCCCCAAATCACACAGCCCGCCCCGCAGCTGGCATTCAGGCGTGCTGCCCACACTGGTTGCTGGAATCATGGTGCCTCACCCTCCCACTTCTTTCTCAGTACACGGGCCACGTGTCATGCCCAGTGCAGCGGCTCACCGCGTACAGTAGGCATTCCACAAACACGTCCTGACGCCGCTGCTACGCTGCTTCCTGACACCCCACCGTGGATGCCCTCCAGGCCCCGGGGCCGGTCTCATTCTGGGGTCAGGCTCCTCTCTGGCTGGCGATCTTGGGTGAACCTCCCATCTCTGTGAGCCTTTGCCGTCTCGGTTAGAGAACTGAGTCATAATCAAGTGCATCTCAAGCTTGTTGGTTGGTTGGCAAGTGCCACGTGTGATACCGGGGGGGAAGGTGCTCACAGAAAACAGTTCAGGAATCAGACTGGTTACTCTGGGGTTGGGCACTCCTTGGAGGACCTGCTGGGCACAGCCTGGAGCTGCTGAGAACGCCAGAGCTGAGCACAGAGCTGGGCATGTGGGAGGTTCTTGATGAAGAATTCATTCACGCAACTAAAAAACACACTGACGGAATGCCTAGTCTTGCCAGGCACTGGCCTGGGTGCTGGGGGTACGTCAGGAGACAGGCAGACAGTCCTGGAGCTGATAGTCTGCTAGAGGGTTGCTCTGCCAACATACCACACCCTGTGGGACTGAAGACAACAGAAATCTGCCATCATGGTGTGGGCAAGGCGGGTTCCTCTAAGCTCTGAGGGAGAGCCTGGTCCACACCTTCTCCTAGCTTCTGGTGGCTGAAGACATCCCTCGATGTTCCCGGCTTCTAGAGGCGTCACTCCAACCCTGCCTTCATCGTCACACAGCACCCTCCTCTCTGTCGGTGTCCAAATGTCTCTCTTCTTATGGGAGCACCCGTCATTGAATTAGGGTTCACCCTAATCCAGTATGACCTCATCTTAACGTGAAGACATCTACTGAGACCCCATTTCCAAATAAGGTCACAATCGCAGGTGCCAGGGGTTATGGCTTGAACATATCTTTTTGGTGGAAACAATTTAACCACCTATAAGGAGATAAAGGGTAACAGATACACAGGGAATGTGTCAGACAGAGGTGGGTACTGTGAAGACAACTAAGCCAGGTGAGGAGGATTTCAAGTGATGAAGGGTCAGGGAAGACCTCTGTGAAGAGGTGACTCTGAGCAAAGGGAACTGAATGAATGAGAGCATGAGCCATGCAGATATCTTGGGGAATAGCATTCAGATTACGAGAAGAGCACGTGCAAAGGCCCTGAGGTGGGATCGTGCTCAGGATGTGCACGGGACAGCAAGCTGCCCTGGATGCAGGAGTGGAGGGAGGAGATGAGATTGGCCAGGTAGGGCAGCTGATCATTTTAGAGACCCAGGGCTTCGGCTGTTACACCAAATAAAAGAAGGCAGCAGAGGGTTCTGAGCCATGAAGTGACCTTGCGTGGCTCAGGTTTCATAAGAATCACTGTAGCTGATTCATGGAGAAAGGTTGTGAAGGAACAAAGACAGAAACAGGGCACTAAAAGAAGAGGAGGAGAGAGCCCTCCGGTTCATCAAAGGACTTGGTTTGGTGGCTCCGTTGACCCATTGAACCCCCCAGAGGAGAAAAGCCAGCAGAGTGACCCATGCCAAACCACAGTGGTGCAGCGTGCACCTTGTCACAGGTGATGAAGCACCACAGCCTCCGAGGCAAATCAGCTCGAGACATTTGCTTCATGAGCACCTCGTGGTGTTACATTCTAGTCACCAGGAAGCCCAGGGATGAGGAATCCATGCAGCCCGGCAGGGGCTCAGTGGTTGAACTTTGACCCATGCACCAAGAGGTCGCCGGTTCGGTTCCTGGTTGGGGCACATGCCCAGGTTGTGGGACTGATCCCCAGTGGGGGGCATGCAGGAGGCAGCCAATTGATGTTCTCTCTCTCGATGTTTCTATCTCTCTCTCTCCCTCTCCCTTCCTCTGACTCTAAAATTAATAAAGGGAAAAAAATTTTGTAAAAAGAATGCATGCAGACCCCCAAACTCAAAGGACTGGCAGAGCAGAGGAGGCGCTCCGTGCACACAGCTTGCCACAGTGAGCTCCAGAACAGAGAAGCATTCATTCTAAATGGGGCATCAGGGAAGTCTTCCTGGAGGAGGTGGCGGCTGAGCTGAGCCTTCTAAAGATGGATGGGATTTGGGCAGAAAGACTTGGGGTGTGGACCTGCCTGGTCTTGGAGGAGGAACTCTGAGGAAGATGTTGACTTTTTTAAATTTTATTGTTGGATTATGGTTTACATTCAATATTATTTTGTATTTGCTTCAGGTGTACAGCCTTGTGGTTAAACAATCACACATTACAGAGTGTTCCCCCTAATACTAAATTTCAGTTTGTCTCATGGACAACTGAAACAGGGAGCCTGCTCAGGGTAGAAGTTGACATTTTTCACTTTTAATTCCTTTCTCCTTTTTTTCTCCTTCCTGGGTGCCTACTGTCAGCCAGGAGTTGGCTGGGCACCAGGGAAGCAACAGCGGATATACAGTGTCCGTCTCTCTTGGAGCCCACGGACCGACGGGTTTGCACCCTAGTGTGCAGCTGGAGTGGGGGGGCTGGGGTGAAAACCACAGCAAAGGGTCTCTTCCTGCTCCTTGCGGCACTGGGTAGCCACGGCGGGTTTTAGGCCGGCCCGTGACACGACTTGAACCGGACGAGGGATAATCATTCGGGCAGCACGCGCAGCATGGATTTGAAGGAGGCCGGGGGCAGAAAGGTGAGTGAGCATTGAAAGGACGGCTGGCAGGTGCACCCTGTCTTTATCTGGGTGACCCTGCTCCTGTGCGGGGGCGAGGAGGGGGGAGTGGAGCGTCAGGGAAGGGAGAACAGGCGGCAGGTCTGGAAAAGGATGAAGGGTTTCCATGGCAACCTTTGCTTGCCCGTCGCCAAGGTAGCTCTGCAAATTCCCCAGGCGTCATTCCCATGGACCTTGAAGCCGGCATCCCTGGCAGCACAAAGCCTGCCTGTAGAAAGACTGGGGTGCAGTGCGTCTGGGAGAGAGAGGAGAGAGTCGAGGGAACCGGGCCACCCTCAAAGTGCCCCTGAACCCCTTCTGCAGGCTCCTCCTCCCTACTTCAGGCAGGGACCCTCCCAAGTCTGCCTTTACCCCTTGGCTTGTATTCTACCCCACGGGGCCTCGGGCATCTGGAAAATGGGCTGATGTGGCCTCCCTGCAGGGCCCTTGTGATGACTTGCAGTTCTGTTTGCAAGCTCCGCACAAGGTGCCTGCTCCCGAGGGAGGCGAGTCAAAATGCCAGCGGTCACTGTGCTCTGTGGCAACGGGCAGCCGGACACCAGGTCCGCCTCTCAGGCCGGCCGCTGACTGGCGTGCGACCTTGAGAAAGTCACTGCCCTCTTCCCTTCTTCTCTCCATGTGCCATAGGGGGATGCTGGCCCATTTCCCATGCACCACAGGTTCTTTAGCCTGATTATCATCATTAGTATTGTTATTGTTATTATTGCTGCGGCTGTCACCACAGGATTGCTGTTCTTAGAACCATTATTATAACCCCTATACCGATGATCACTGATGCAAAGGCAAAGATGATGAGTCCTGTAAATAGTCCACTTAGTTGAGAATATGAAATTATTGTATCAGAGCAGACAATGCCCTACCTCTCGTCTTCCTTTAGACGTAGGATGAGAGCCCACATTAAACTCTGTGTCATCCACACATCAAGACAGGATTGCCTGACCACGTTGAGATGTATCGAGCAAGTTAATCCTTCA